TCGACGAGAGCCAAGTTCCTAAGAGTGTCTGTCGGTTTGAGGTCTGGTTGTCGTGCATGTGAAGCAGCCCGTTCGCGAGGGACGGTGATATCGATGCCGGAGTATGGAAGGCGCCCTACGGAGGTGTGAGGGGTTAAATAAATCTACAGTGGGGAGGTCACTCGTGAAGCGAGGGCAGGGGCCAGGGGTATGCACTAGCCAATCGATTAAAACGCGTGTGGGCGGACTCGAATTTGTGCTGCGACTGATGTTAAAAAAGAAATGTAGGCTAGGCCTTATTTGGTAGGGGCTGAACATGGGGTGCTCTTGGCGCTACCTCGAAATGGCGATTTTTTTTGCCTCCTATCTCCGTAAACGGAAAGAATGTCCGGCCAGTCCGAACTTGGCGCGAGTCATGGCATGATCCCCTTCCGACGAAATCCGGGGCCACGCCAGCCTTCTCCACAATCTCGGCTGCAGGGGGATCGAGAGCGTTGATCCTTGTTACCGTGTACCAGCGAGCATCGCCTGCAGCTCACCCGATCCAAATCCGCTCGCGGCCAATGGCAGAGTGAACGACAGCCTTCCCATCTAACAAGTGCGGAATCCCCGGCTTTGAGCTCTCTCCTTGAATATCCGCACCTGAACGGGGGTTGGTGGCTTCTCTGTTTGTTTGCATGCCTTGCCTTCCGCCGCTTTTCCGGCAGCCGTTTCTACCATACCCGCTTCCGGTAGCGCTAGACCTCCATAGCCAGCTATCGAGTCATTTGCATCGCACAACCGCTAAAATTCGACGTCTCTCGTCTTGCCAGGCTCTACATGACCTTGACGTCCGAGAAGAGAGCGCTAGGTCCTGTAGACTGGATTGGATCCTCTTCGAGCCGCCGTTTTTGACGTTTACGAGAATGAAAATAGGCTTTTTGTTATGTGATCTCTCTTGCTCTCGTCTTGGGGACTGGTCCCGTAGATAAATCGTCCCGAGAGTACTGTGGACAATACCACCGCAAAGGGGACACGACGTCCTCCAGCGCGGCAAAGCTCAAGCAATACTTGCCGGCAAATAGCACTCAAATCATATGCTGTCACGGTGTCACGGGTCTCATCGGCGTTATTGTTGAACAACTTGTATGATATGATTCCCTTTTTTTCCTATGCCCTCGCACCGCTCAAAAACAGACAGTCTATGAAAAATCATTTTGTACACCCCACGTCAAAACACCGGCGCATGCCACCTTAGGCCTTGACAGCGACCATCTGGCCGATGACGGCCTGGCAGTCGGCAAGGGTAATGGACTTCTCGGGCCTCTTGTAGCCGAGGTCGTAGGGCAGCTGCTCCTTCTCGAAGAAGGAGACGACCATCTTCTTGTCGGCGCCGCCCTTGGGGCCCCCGCCGAAGACGACCTGGATCAGCGAGTTCTCGAGGAACGAGCCCTGGACGGCGAGGGCGCTCATGGCGAACTGCGGGTTCTTGGCCTTGGAGTCGGCGATGCGGGCGTTGCGGGCCCTCACGCTCTGCTCGATGCTAATCTTGGCGTCGGGCCAGTTGGAGACGGTCATGGCGAAGATGGTCTTGTCGAACGAGTGGTTGTCGCCCGTGAAGGTGTCGGCGCGCGACAGCGAGGCGTCGTGCTCGATGACGCCGTGCTTGTTGAGGTCGGCCAGGTTGATGGTGTCGGGGTTGCCCGTGGTCGAGGCGCTCATGCCGATGGTGGCGACGGCCCTGGTGGCGCCCTCGTCCAGGTTGACGCCGTCGCGGAGGCCGGAGATGAGCTGGGCCATCGATATGTTGAGGCCGTTGCGCGGGAAGAAGCCGTGGTTGGCCATGGCGTTGAGCATGGGGCAGGGGCTGCGCGAGTCGCCGGGGCCGGCGGGCTTGAAGGCGTGCTCGCCCTCGGTAGGGAGGGCCGAGGCCACCGAGAGGAGGGCGACGAAGATGGTGGTGGGGGAGAGCATGTTGACGGAGAGTGTTGAGCTGAAGTGGAAGAATGAAAGTGTGGGTGTTATCAAGTCGATATGAGCGGACGGAGGGATCGTCTAGTGTCGAGAGAGTGACTGGAGTGAGGCGAGTAACCAAAACGAAAGAAGCCAAGGTGAAAGAAGGACCTGGGTGGAGAACCGATGAAGCCGGATGTCTTCTAAAAAATTTCCTGGAGAACGAGCGACGGGCAGCTCGGGATTATATGCCCAACAGGCGCGCGCCAGAGACACCAATGGCCCCATCTCGAGGCCCCATCTCGAGCTCCTTGGCCTGTCGTGCTCGCTTGGGAGTCGGCTCCTGGCTCTTTGGCAGGACCCTGCGTTTCCGGAACGGTCGCGGCTGTGTCGCCTGGTCGTGTTGGCTCGCTTGAGGCTCGGGGTGGGCGATGACCATTCAGCGTGGCGCCATTGGCAGGAAACGACAAGGCTCAACCCGCGGCCCGCCCGGCCCGCGCGGCTGGCCCCATCACATCTCTGACATCCGTCATGCCCAGGCCTGATTGGGGTTCAAGATCCGGGGTCGAGGTGGGCTGGACTTCCCAATGTGAAGTCTGTTCCCGCGACTGAGGGGGGCCTGGCTGCTTCAGGCCCCACCAAGGAGGTCCACTGGAATCACGTTTATGGCTGTGCCCGAAGACCCTGCAGAGGTGGGGTGTAGGGACATGCCTAGTTGGGCAAGCTTTTAATAGGTCTGGACATGGGCCCAAGGGAGACAAGAAAAAGGGGCACGGATGGCTATGCAGGGAAGGGAAGACAAAGCATCCCGGGCGCGGGCTCGCCGGTCAGCTAACGGGTGTTTGATATACTCCCCGTGAATTCAATTCGCCGAAGCCCCAGCCAGTGGCGGCAGAGTAGGGCCGGAGCTAGCCGTTCCGTGGCAAGTACTCACCGGGCCCTACTACCGTCGTCATGGTCATCGGCCGACTCCCGAGAGGCTGGCAGAGCCGCCCGTCCCTCGAGAGGGATTCCTCTGCTCTGTGACCTATGACGACGCCTTTTGGCCGGATGGGGTGCCAACTCGGAGCGAACCAGACAATCGCAAATTGAAACGAGCCAGCGGGCATTCGCCCACGGGCGCGTGCCCGCATCAGGCAATTTCGTCGACGGCTGGCCAATATGGGAGACGGGTGGCAAGAAGGAGCCGCAATTTAGCCATAGTGGTCGTCGCCATGTTGGGCCCGACTGTGGGAGGTGATGCTGGAGACGCCATAGTTAAAAAGAACATGGCCCGGTTCAGTGCTGCAGGTTGGGAAAACCTCAATGAGATCACCAAGTGAAACCAATGACGGTATAATCCTACGATTTTCGACTTGGAGCGAGCGATATGAATCCTAAAACCCTTCTCAAAACAGTTGGCGTCTTGCGTGAGTCCCGGTCAGCTGAAACCAAAGAAACTCTATTCATCCTGACGGCCGTTCGACGCAGTCTTTGGCCATGCCTGGGCCCAGTATATAGAGATGGTCCCGGGGACATACACGGACCAGGAGACCGGAATCGACTTTGTAACCTGGTCGCCCCTGACCGGCGAGGGCGGCGTCGGGGGGTACACCTTTGGGATAGCACTGCCAGAGGATGCGCTAAAGACGGACTCCAAGGAGTACATTGGGTTTCTGGTAATATACCACTCGCCGTCATCCTTACTACTCGCGAAAAAAAAAAAATGTCCCGGCAACTTGACTGACCACACCCCATCGCACCCGCCGCAGCAATGCTCCAAGACCTCCCCGGACGAGGCGGGCTGGTGCGGCGTCGCGCACGCGGGCCACATGGTGGACGACCTGCTGCTGGTGGCCTGGCCGCACGACGGGCAGGTGCTGACGTCGTTCCGCTACGCGAGCGGCTACTACATGCCGGCGCTCTACTCAGGCAACTCGACCGTCACGCAGATCCGGTCCGCCGTCAACGACACCAACTACGAGCTCGTCTTCCGCTGCCAGGACTGCCTCTGGTGGAGCGAGGAGGGCTACGAGCCGGGCTCCCTGAGCACCAGCAACCCGGACCAGTACGCCACCCTGGGCTACGCGCAGTCCAAGGCGGCGCCGCAGCCGGCCGGGTGCCCCGGGAGGATCGGCTTCACGTTCCACGACGACGGGTTCGCACAGTACTTTGCCGAGTACGCAGGGGCCGTCAGCCCCAAGTATAAGGAATGGGCTGCCTTGGCGACCAAGACCGTCACGGGCACATGTTCCTAGCTAATATGGCGGGGCTTTGTGGGCTGCTATGTATGTGAAGCACTTCTAGGCATTAGTGCCAGGATAGAATTATATTTCGGTATTCTATACGTAGATCTTAACTACCCTATTCGCCTTCGCTGCCTTGACTTTGGGACAAGCACAATTGGAGAGCTAGCATTCTTGAGAGTACACGAAACCACCCGAGCTCTCAAGACCAGGGATCCCAGCTTCTAGCTTCGGGGCGGCCCCCATTACTTATCGTCGCCAGTGTTGTGAATGGCATTGGGCACGGCACACTCGACCTTCTCGGGGAGCACCTCCTGGAGCTTCTTGGGGACAATGGAGTCGTTGCCGTTGTCGAGCGCATGCGTCTTATTGGTCGACTGACCGGGCTCTTTGCCAGTGGGGTGGACCTGCGACGGCGCCTCGGGTTAGTACTCCTCCTCGATGTAGGTGTAAACACCTTGAGCAACTCACCGAGTCGGGCAGAGCCTCCTCGAGGCCCTTGGGAGCCTTCTCCTGGACCTTTTTGGGGACGGCAGAGTTGCCAGAGCCGCCGGTAGCGTGGGAGCGGTTGGTGTCGGACATTCTTGCGGTAGTGGTGGACAGGGGACGAAAGGCGGCAGTGGATGTTCTCTTGACGGCTAGTCTGAGTGCGGTGCTCGAAGAAAGCATTGCTGTGTGGCACAGCTGGAAAAGCCCTCCCCAAGAACATGGGTTCGGGCAGCTTTATATAGGTAGATGGCTAGGCACGTCGGCTCCCCCATCCATTCCTCTCCCTCGGGTCGCCATCACCGGGGGCTGCTTACCTCCGAGACGCGAACGCGAACACTACTTGGGAGATGTTGACGGTGTCATGGTGACTTTGGGGCGGTCGTTAGTCTACTTTGTTAGAGGTGATAGTGATTTGGTAGGGACAGCTGCCACGGTCGGCGTTTACCGGAATCATTTCGCCAACACGCAGCAACAGCTTCGGTGTTCGCGTCATCAATGAGATTTTGGATCGAGGCGAAATGCATCATGCATAATGGCAAGCACACAATTCGCCCTGATTATTGGTTGGATAGACGGACCCGATGGTCAATAATCATCGCCATCGGTCTTGGGCTGCAGCTAGCAGGCCGTGACGTCAGGACACGGATCCTTGATCAGCGCCGATTGCCCAAGAAGATAGGCAGTCTGCACCTAGTACCGCTTCCCAAATACCCGGTCGGCGCAACTCGCCATCCCACTCAGATCGGGTCTGGATCTCGGGGCCGCATGCATCGCCATCGAAGCCAGCCGCTGCAGGATACCAAGTACTGTCTAATCCGCGAGGTAAGCCTCCAAAACCTCGGGGTAAAACCTCCGCCCGACATCCCTGTGGCTCCGAATCTTTGTCCGCAGCTGGCTCTCGCCCCAGGTGTCATAGTTACCGCGCAAAAAGGCCGAATCGATCTCCGCTCCCACCCTGGGCTCGTGGACCCCACCAGCCAACATCCCACCATCGCCACAGAAGTGTTCACGCAGCCCATCGAGGGCCTCCCCCTTGGTGAGGTCCAGCCGCACGCCCTGGAAGAAGGGCACGCTGTACCTATCCTCGCGCTGCTCCCGGCCGGGCCGCCGGACCACGCGATGCGTCGTGGCTGGGCAAACGCCGTGCGTCACCACCTCGAAGGCCTGGCCGATGTTCACAACAAAGGTCCCGGGGATGCTGGGCACGTCGATCCACTGACCCCGACGGTTGAGCGCCTGTAGCCCGCCAACGGCCGGCGGCGAGGCCTGGAGGAGGAAGGTCCACCAGCCCGAGGAGTCCTTGTGCGGGCCGACACCCTGGATGGGCTCCGCTCCTTCAGGGCCATTTGCATCTATACCCGGGTAGCGAACCAGCTTGAGGCGGTGCTGGTCAGAAAGGAACGGGAGAAACGTGGCAGGCGGCAGGGAAAGCGCCTCGGCGACGAGCCGCAAGAACCGGTCTCCTAGAATGGTGAGCTGACGGATGTATTCCTCGACGACCGGCCTAAGCTCAGGGTTTGAGGGCGGCCACTAGGGTCCGAGGGGTTGGGTCCGTCAAGTTAACCCAGATCATTCCCACCGCACTTCCGAGATATGGCAAGGGAGGTGCGTCATCACTGCACGCTCACCTGGTTTGGCCCAATCAGCCGCTCATAAAGCGGCCTGCCCGGGCTCCATCTGACAAGCAGCTCCGTTGCGAACTCGATCTGCTCGCGGTGGTCACTCAGCCCGGCCGTCGTCTCGGACCCGACGGAGCTGTAGCCGAGGAAGTGCGGGGAACGCTCGAGGGAGATCTCGGCCTTTGCTTCGGCCGACAGATCAGCGATGGCCGGGAGCGCCACGGCGACCAGATCGTCGATGACCTTCTCGGGGACGCCATGGTTCTTCACGTAGAGAAATCCGACATCGGTAAGCGCGTGGCGGAGCTGTTGGAGCAGCTCTGGCCTCTGCGCCGCATCGCCGGCCAACGAGAGGTCGAGCTGCGGGATCGTATTGAAACTGTGCACGTGCATTTCTGTGGCATGGGCCCTAGAAAACCCTGGCTTGTGCTTTTCGATGGCGAAAAGAAACCGGCAGCCAAACGTGAAATTGAGTCCATGTACCGAGAAAAGAGGATGATGCAATCAGGAGGCTCGACGTCGCCATGTGTCGGCCAATAAAGTGGGTCCCAATAACTAGCAGTTGGACTAGTGCAACCAACCATCGCGAGTTAGGCGAAAGCAATGTGGTTTTTTGAGATTTGAGCATGGGTTTAAACAGTTACTAGTAAGCCTTCACGCATTATAACACGCCTTTATGCTAAGGTCCGGGCTTGCCAGTATGCACGAAACAGACTTCTAAGAAGGTCTACCAAAGCTACAGTAAGCCAAAGCACTAATATTACCAGGGGTTTAGCGTTTTAAAACCAATGTGTAGTATTAAGAGTTTGACGAGGAAATTAAAAGCTGTACCTACGCGAAGGAAAAGTAGAAGCTGTTTGGTTTTCGCCTTACCGCAAAAACACTCCCAAGAGCTGGAAAAGGTTGTTATATTCATAAGAACGCTGATCGGAACTCCTTGAGGTGTTAAAGTTGGCCACACTCGGTAAACATAATAAACGCTCAGGACACTTCGCCCACGTGCGAAGGCTTTTAGGATGTGTTCGGGGCAGTTCTTCAGAAACACTTGAAACATGAGTGTTCAATTTACTGAAAATGAAAGTAGTACAACTAATAACATGTCAAGTGAAATTTCTGGTGCGAAAACAACATCTTCCAACAAGTAGGCAACTTTACCCCAGCTATCGGTGCCTGAATTCAGCACGGGCACGATCACGCTACCCCCTTGAATTATTTTACGTTATACTTACACATCTGACGTTCTCACCTGACGCCGTTTATCATCGGGCATCGTCGTTGCGTCGGGCTGGAAGCCGGCGTGTCCAAAAACGGCTTAGACCGGATCTTTGATGGTGAGCTCTAAACACAAGCTCCACCTCGCTCTGCCTCACCTTTGACCTTGGGGGTTTGACCCGGCGTTGGGGACTTGAGATAACGGTAAAACCCAGCGCAGTCTAAGGTGCGAGAGAAGCCTGGGCAGCAGGAGGTGGGTTACTCCATCATCACAACAGGAATGGACAATGCATTATGCCTCTTTGTTCATTGCCCAAGGTCTCCATTGTTTGGGCACGTGAACTAGGTAGCCACCAGGCATTTTGAGCAAAGATTTTGATGAAGAGCCTTGTGTATGTGGATACTTTTCAAACCTCGTTTGTGGCGGAGTGGCAGTAATTCGAAAGTACTCGAGGTTAAAAGCATCAGCCCTGGACGAACATCGAGGTCAGAGTGACAGAACCAAAGCGGGCCACCCTCAAGATAAAGAAAGGCAGCCCGTATTAAGAGTGTGCTACGCAGAGAGAGATATATATACCTAGAGGTAGGTACCTACCCATGTAGAAGTGGTTGGAGATACGTGGGGTACCAACCCTGGCAGTTTGACCATCCCAGATTCCCAGCACTGAGATTTCACCGCAGCATCAGTCTGCTCACCTCAGGTCGCTCGAACCAAACTCGAAAGCGTTAGGAATTTTTGTTCTGGAAGGCACGAGGCCAAAAATCCCAGATCAAGACCCAACAAGGAAGGAGCGCCTCTTTACCTCCTCACACCTTCCCGGCCCCGCAGGCGACCCTCGGATTCGCCCAGGTCAGGACGCATCCCCGCTTCAGAACCCAAGACCACCCCCTCGCTAGTGCCAATACACCCTCCCCCCCATCCCCGCTCATGATGGACGGCCCAACCCTAGCCGCCAATGGCGCGAGAACGCTGCCCCTCACAGTCCTCGACCAGACCGCCCCGCGCATCTACGTCCGCCTCGTCTTCACCTTTGGCCTGCAGGACACCTACAATGCCGACGCCGCCCGGGACCACCTGGCCACGCGCCTGCACCGCGCCCTGCGTCGCTGGCCCTTCCTCGCCGGCCAGCTCCGCCCGGCTCGCGCGGCTGCGGTGACGTACACGGTCGGCGGCGACATGATGGAAGCCGGGCCCGACCCGCGCGGCAGCCTCGAGCTCGTTTTCGAGCCGGATGACGCGGCCGCGACGGATCCGCTGCTGCGCCCGGATATATTCCTCTACGACATGCAGGAGAGAGCGCTGATCGGGGGCGAGGCCGTGCCCTACGCCGCCCTGGCCGCGCAGGGCATGCCGCCTTCGGCCATGGACAAGGACGTCTTCTCGCTGTCGCCGCAGCACCCTCAGCCGGGCGCCTCGTGCCCGCCCGTGACGCTCAAGGCGACGGAGCTGGCTGGCGGCGGCGGCCTTTTCGTCTGCTTCGCCTTCCACCACGGCATCATCGACGGAGGCTTTATCCGCACCTTTCTGAACTATTTTGGCGGCGGCGGCGGCAACAACGACAACGACCAGGCTTTCGAGCACGGCGGCGGCTACGAGGCCGAGCTGGGCAGGATGCAGAGCCTGGACGGGACGCTGGCGCAGCAGTGGGCGATGGTTTTCCACGACGAGCTCCCCGAGTACGACTTTGGCGACGGCAGCAGCGGCAACGAGCTTGGGGACGAGGCCGGCGGCGGCGGTGCCGGCGGGAGAGCCGTCTGCCGCATCATCCGCTTTGACCACGCCGTGATCGAGACCCTGCGCAGCCGGGCACTGCTCGAGCAGCCGCCGGGCGGTGGGGGCTTCCTCAGCACCGTCGACGTGCTGTGCGCCCTCGTGCAGGTGCACGTGTGCCGCGCGCGCTACAAGGCCGGCCTCGAGAAAGGCGGCGATGGCAACAGCGGCAGCGTGCGCAGGATCAGCCCGGACGACCCGGCAGCCTTCTCGACCGCCGCCGACTTCCGCGACCGCGCCGGCCCCTACCGCGCCAGGGACTCGTGGGGAAACCTCTGGGCGCCCATCATGGTCTCGGACAGCGGCGCGAGCGTGCGGCGCCTGATTGCTCTCGGAGACGACAGCGATGATGACGGCGCAGCAGCAGTCCCCGAGGACGCAATCCCCGCGGTCCTGGCCCAGGCGCACCGGATCCGCAGCGCCATCGCGGCAGCCGCCGACATCGACTACATGCCCAAGCGCATCGCCCTGGCGCGGCAGCTGCTGGTCTCGGACACGCGCAGCGCTAGGGGTAGCGTTAGCAGCAGTAGTAGCGGCTACAGCGGCTGCAGCGAGAGCAGCGGCTACGCCACCAGCCTTAGCAGCGTTGGTGGCAGCAGCGGCAGCATCTGCGACGGCGGAGAGGCGCACGCCGTGCTCGGCAGCGCGCACGGCCGGGCGCTCCAGCCGGGACGGGCGGGGCTCGGCTGCAGCGTGTGGGCGCACATGGGCGCCGACGTCGACTTTGCCATACCGGGCACCACTACTGCCACCGCCACCGCTACCGCTACCGCCACCGCGGGCGACGGCCGCGCCGACTTTGTGCGCAAGACGTGGTCGGCCTCGGACGGCTCCATGAACGTCATGCAGCGCCGCGGCGGCACCAGGGGCGCCGCCGAGCCCTGGGAGGTGCTCCTGGCCCTGCGCGAGCGGGATATGGAGTGGCTCTGCCGAGACGACGAGCTCGGCCGCTGGGCGAGCGGCTGGGTCGAGTAGCGCCTCTCACCGCAACTTCTGGACGTGTGTGCTTATTTATGTATTGCTATATGGGTTTACTTTCTTTGGCGCGTTGCGATTTTGTGCCTTTTTTTTTCCCTTGGTACCGGCGGTGCAAGGCGCTTGGGCGTATAAAACAAAAGATCCTCTTTGCGATGGGGTACAGGCGTTTTTATTCCGGCACTTTAGCCGGGACTCTTCATGATGATCATGAGCTTTCACTACGCATGGGCTTTTCTAAACAGGGGGGATTGTGACAAAGTAGATCACAAAGAAACTCTCATCGAGCCTTGCCCTTACCGTCTCATCTCATTACATGTTCAAAATATGGTAAAATGGTGTAAAATGGACAACAGTCATGTCTTCCGTCTCGTCCAGCATCGGTGGGTTACACAACCAGGGGAACTGTACATGCCACGTATGCAGCCCAGCCAGCAAATGAAGTATCATAAGTGAAACGCCGCTCCATAGTCCAAGTTCAATGATCAACCGGCACACGTTCACAAGTATCATCTGGCACAGTCTTCATCTTCGGCGCAAATCACTGCGCCTCTCCACTCAATTAATCCCCGCCCCCCCTCTAAAACCAGGAGGGCCATCGTTACCGCCTCTATGTGTACATATTACTGCCAGCACTTTTTGCTACCGCGGCCCCACCCAGTGAGGCCGTTGGCTAGATCGCTCGCGAATCTCGGCGCGAGATGAGCGTACAGCATTGCGCCGTAGGAGACGAGCTTCGCATCCCGGAGAAGCTCGGCCCGGCTCGGAAGACGCGTTGAACAAGTGAGGTTGTTACGCCATGCACTTGCTTTACTTCTTCAAGGGCGGCAGGACCGACTTTCCAACGGCCTTGGCGGCAGCGAGCGCGCCAGAAAGGCCGTGCTGCGTCGTGACACCATCAATACGGTGGGTCGAGTTGATGTTCTTGACGCAGACAAGCTGGAAGCAGGTGGCACTGCCCTGACGAGAGGCAATGACGGACGAGGCAAGGAAGTACTCCCAAATCTGTGTAGAGTTCATGTTAGAACGTGTTCTTGTTGTTGATAAAAGCGAATAATTCCGGGGTAATCTTACCCTGTACCACTTGTCGCCGTACTTGGCCTGAACCTTCTCCTTGTTGCCGAGCCAGTTACGGTACCATCTCCAGAGGGTGGCAGAGTAGTGGACACCAACAGTATCGACGCTAAGTTTAAAAGTTGTCAGCATTGATATTCGAGACAATTTCGTGCACCTCTGGGGAGCAGCTGTAGGCTATTAGGGTAGTTCTGCTTACCTCTTGATCTCGAATCCGGCAGCCTCGAGCTGGTCTACATAAGGGCCCAGGGGAGTAGAAGCGTCGGCGCCGGGGAAGATGTACTTGTTCATGAAGAGACCCCAGATGAAGTCCTCGTACTGCCAAGCCTTGCGCAGACCCGAGACCTGGACGTAGAGCACACCGTCATCGACGAGGTGGTCCGAGACCTGGCGCCAAAAGGTGACCATGCGGCGGACGCCGACGTGCTCAGCCATCTCCAGGGCGGTGATCTTGTCGAACTTGTCGGCGTTGGGGATGTCGCGGTAGTCGCAGCACAGCAGCCTGCTCTGCTCCTCGGGCACGCCCGCGGCGCGGAGGCCGGCGTTACCCCAGGCGACCTGCTCGCGGGCGAGGGTGACGCCCGTGACCTTGGCGCCGTAGTTGACCGAAGCGAAGCGGGTGAGGGTGCCCCAGCCGCAGCCAATGTCGAGCAGGCGGTCGCCCTCCTTGAGGCCAATCTTCTCCATGACGACCGACAGCTTGTTGTCCTGCAGCTCCTCCAGCGTCTCCTCGCGGGTGGGGTCCGAGATGATGCCCGAGGTGTAGATCATGCGGGGGCCCAGGAACCAGGCGTAGAAGTCGTTACCGCGGTCGTATGTGTCCCGGACCTGGTCCTCGTCCTGGGCGCGCGTGTGGAAGAGCACGTCGGGGAAGAAGGTGAAGAAGAGGAACTTGAACGTGTTGACGGTGAAGTTGAAGGTGGTCCAGTCGTGGCGGTACTCGAGCACCTCGAGCATGTCGCCCTTGACGTCGACCTCACCGTTGAAGTACATCTCCTGGAAGGTCTCCTGGGCGATCTTGGCGCCGCGGGCGCCGTAGCGGGCCTTGTCGGCGGGGCTCTTGAAGGTCAGGTAGAAGTCGAGGGGGCGGCCCGGCAGCTTGACCTTGTCGTTGACGCGCGGGCTGAAGTTGGACGTGAAAGTCCAGTAGGCGATCAGGATGGGGATCGCGGTGAGGAGGAAGAAGAAGATGGTGGTCTTGAGGCCGCCTCCGAGCTTCCAGGCGATGAAGGTCGGGGCGCCGACGAGCAGCGAGATGAGCAGGCCATTGGAGAAGTCTGCCGCTCCAGGGCCGTCGGCGGGCAGAGGAGGGTTGTAGATGGTGGGAGACTGTGAGGGTTTCAAGGTGTCAGTCCACAGCAAACACACAGAGAGAGCAACAAACAGCAGGCCTCGTCCCCCCTCCTCCTCCCATACTGGCTGGGCTCACTTACAGTGGTGATCTTAACGCCAACCTCGTCGCCCAGCGACTCAATGGTCGACTTCGCCTGTGGAGGCGTCGGCGGGAAGTCGACGTCCTTCTCTGTGAGGGGCGCCATGGTTGCAGGTCTGTTGCAAAGATGGCAGCAGAGCGAGTTGGGCTGCAGCAGAAAGACCGCAGCTACTTCGCATGGGGAGGAGGGAAGAAGGGGGGAGATATGTTTGCCACGGTTTCCAATGGCCAGCCCCCCGAGAAAAAAAAAATAGGGAATGCGGCTTGGGTGGGCGAAATCGTTGCGCGCCCAGGTCCCAGGTCCAGCCCACCTCACACAAATCCCAAAGGGTTCGCCCGCACACCGCCAAATGCCAATTGCAATCGCACACCGGTGGCAGTTTCCCATGTGAGGAGCGGGGGTTGGGGCAATGGCTGGGCGGGTGGAGTGGCGGGAAATGAAGAGATTGGCTGGCCAGGAAAGGGGGAAATTCCCAGGAACCCGCTTCTGCGCCAGCGAAGCTCAACGGAATTCGCCCAGCGCACGCCTCTTGGCCCGCCGCCGATGCCCTCCACTTGATTTCTAGCGCCGTCTGGACTTTTTGGTGACTAGACGATCTGACTCGAGGTCGCGGGAGTTTTTTTTTTACTCGTCCACTCCCTACCCACGCCCCGACGCTACTTTTGGGTACCGAGGAAATCACAGACGTGAAGAGAGATTGACGGCAGTGATCCGTGCCTGCCTCCCAGTCCAGTCCAGCCAGGTCCCTTCTTCACCGTCGAAAAGGGGCCCTATCGACGGACGGCAGCGTTCGTAGTTGATATCGGGCGACGCACAAAGTAGGGGCCGGAGCGTAGGCGGCCCACTGAAACCAGCTCTCGCTGTGGAGCCAAACGGCCGGGAAGACCCCCGGGGCTGGAAAAGAAGATGCCACATGTTCAGAACGATAGTTGGCCATCCATCGTTGGGCCGTTGGCCGGCATCCAGGGGCGGGATTCCAGAACACAGCTTCGCCGGGGTCGCTAAAGCGTTTCTTGGGCTGGGTGGGGGACGGATCGTAGCGAGCAATGCTAGCCAGGGGAGAAAGAAAAAAAGAAGAAAAATAAGAAGAAGAAAAAAAGAGGGGGCAGGAGATTCCAGAGTAGCGTGAAAGCTCGGAACCGCCAGCAAAAGTGACTGCCCACTGTCAGAATCGAACTGACGATCTTATCATATCCTAAGGTTCCCCTACTAGTGATACGCTTTACCACTAAGCCAAGCGGGCTGTTGTACTCGATGGTGCTCCATAGCTCTCTTGGCTCTATATAGCCCAACAAATCAAGCATGTGGATCTGATATGTGTGGAGATTCACAAACGCCAAAGACGCAGGGTCCAGTTCGGAAGCATGAGCCGGTCGAAATAACCCCTGCATTCCACATACCCTACCAAGTTAGCAGACCAGTGAGGAAACACACGACACTAGACGTAGACAGACAACGCCGTAATCAAACATGAATTTGAGTGGCTGCTATCTAGAGTATAATAATAAAAAATGGCACGCTATCCTGATGTTAGGTTTTGCCAAGGTAGATCAAGCTGCAATATCCCGCGCAAACGCCACGCAAATAAACAAAAAAGTTCATGTGGATACGACAAAGCTGAGTACAAAAGAACCATGTCCGGAGATGAGATGTTGGAGATATCTCAAAATCTCCAAATGAAAAAAGCGAAAAAAGATACAAATATGAATGATATCGATCCAAGCAACCCTGTGGGGGAAAAAAAGAAAAAGAAAAGGGAAACTATCGAAAGTGTAGTAATATAAAGACACCACCTATGCTTTACGTGGTGAATTCTAGCTCCGGCTGAAGCTGCGGAAGTGCCGTGGAGCCCGAGCGGCGGGCGGCGTGACGATCGACGAGTCGGCGCGCCTGTGCGCCCGGTCAAAGTAGCGGGCGCTGTGCGTCGGCGGAGTCACGGGGGAGACCACGTCGTCGGGCGCCTCGTCAGCGGGGATGGGCGGCAGCGGCGGCCTCACCAGCGATATGTTGAGGTCCGCCGGCCGGTTCTGCCTGTAGCGCTGGTGCCTCTGCGTGTGGGAGTGGTACGCGTTCTGCTTCATAGCCGGCGTGGGCGGCGAGATGGGCGCTGGCGTCATGGCCGAGGCGACGAGCTTGCTGCCGGGCGTGGGAGGAGAGACGGGCGCGAGGGCGCTGACGGCGCTGACGGCGCTGTCCTTGCGCAGTCCGCCCCTGTACGGGGACCCGCCATAGTTCACTGGGGCCATGCCCGGGAAGACTGTATGCTGCTCGAGGTCTTCGTGGACGCTGCTGCTGACAGCGCTGCTCCCGTCCGTCAGGCTCTCCATGCCGCTGCCGCCGCCCGAGCTGTCGCCCGAGCTGCCGCCCGAGCTGCCGCCGCGGCGCATTTCGGCCGACCCCTTGCGCGGTACCTGCGGTCGCACCTGCGCTTCGCCCGAGATCTCGTGTAGCGCCCGCTCCAGTTGCCGCTCGAGTTCGTCGTCGTCGCGGATCGGCCCCGTGAACGATGCCCCCAGAGGTGTGGGTGCCCCGGGCGTAGTCGCTGGCAGGCCAGGCGTAAGCATCGAGGATACATGGACAGCCTGTGGTGTTGGCAGACCTGCTGAGCGGGGTGGCGGAGTACGGGCATTGTCTGCGGCGGTGCGGGAATCGACGACCAGGTACGTCGTCTGAGGGACCGGCGCATGCTGATCGTGACCCTTGATCTTGCTCGCAATCTTGGACACAAGCGAAGATGACGAAGGCACGTTGCGTCTGTGCCCGGGGCTGCTGCCGCCGCCGTGCCCGGCCATCCTTCTCGCGATGAGGTTGAACTGCTTCGCCATGGTTGGGTTGTCCAGGATCTCGTCCATCGACAGGGAAAACTCCCCCGGTCCCCCAATCCCAGGCAGGCCGAGCTTGGGAACCTCTCGGGTCAGAGCCGAGGCCAGCTGCGATGCGGGGATCAGTGAGCCCCACAGGTCGTAGAATGCCGCGTGGTCCCTGTGCTCCTCGGGCACGTTGAGCGTCGCGGGGTTGAGCGACGACAAGGTCCAAGCCTTTTCTATGGTCTTGCGGATCGCCGCGGCGTGGTTAGGAGCAACGTCGTTATTGGGAGTGGGGTGCAGCTCGCTGGCAATCATGCTCGGCGTCGACGGTGCCTGCGGCAGTGGGATGTGCGCCTGCAGCCTCTGGAAGGCCGACGACGACGGCACGACAGGAGCCGTGATGGAGGCAGAGGTGAAGGTGGCCACGTTGTCCACGAGCATCCGGAGCGTCTCCTCGGCAAAGCTGACAGGAATGCGGCTCTCGCAGAATGTAATGCACATCTCGACGTTGTTCGTCTGGCTGCCCGAGCCTGGCCCGCCACCGCCGCGCGCGAGCGAGTGCACGTACATGTCGGGCACGTCCTGTGCGCGGCTCTCGATGATGGTGAACCTGCACGAGGGACCGGCGCCGCCCTTGCCGAGGTTGAAGATCTTGGCCTCGGACGGCACCACCGTCGTCTCCTCGTACCGGTGATGCACAACAGTGCTGAACCTGGTCCAGTAGGGCCACGTTGTGCACGACTGCACCAGGTCGAGGAAGCCATAGTTCTCAAACTGGATGCCGGCCACGCGCTGCGCCTGCACAGCCTTGAGCAAGTCCAGCGGCGCGACCTGTTGGTCGGGGAACTTGACCCGCACCGGAATCGCGTTGGCCGTCGGGCCGAGGACGCCCGCGACAGACTGGCCCCCGGATAGTCGGACCTGGCGGCCATCGACCACCTCGCCGAAAACGACATCGCCAGAGCCCGACAGCGCCGCCAGCGTCATGGCCCAGGCCGACTTGACGACCGTCTCGAACGAGATGTCGAGGTGCGCGAGCGAGCCCACCGCGACGCGCTGCTTGATGGTCTTGCTGTGGTTGGTCAGCTGGTAGGGCCGCGCGTGCTGCACCACCTTGGTCATGGACGCTCCCTCGAGCAGCGACCGCCAGTAGTCGTGAGCGCCCTTCGAGTTGGCCACCTGCGCCGACCGCACAAACTCGACATACGAGGGCCGCCGCGGTGGGTTCTGCGCGCCGTCGTACAGCTTCTTGAGGTCCTTGACCAGCAGCGCCACCGACAGGTCGTCATACTGGGCCCTGGACAGCCGCAGCAGGAGCGTCGACTGCTTGCCGCCATCGAGGAGGATGAACTTGGTCATGGGCGATGCAAAGGCAAGCGGGGCCGCCTGGTCTTTCTTAATCACCTTTTCGGCAAACGCGGCCAGGCGCCAGCTCGGGCAGAGGTAACGCTTAAAGTCGGCGCCAGCACTGGATTTGAACACAATCTGGTACATGCGACGCTTGTGAGGCACAAAGGCGGTGCGGAGGACCGGATGGATCGTCACCAGCGTTTGGCATGCATCCTCGAGCTTCTTGCAGTCGATGGTGCCTGAGAAGGAAAAGACAAAGTAGTTGATGTTGGCACGTCCGCGCAGCATACCCGACTCGATGAAACGGGACTGCATTGACGAGGCCTCAGCGACCTCCCTGACCGTGGCCCTTTCGACCCCGATCTTGGTGGCCAGGACGGACTCGAGATCGTCACCGTTGCTGCCTCTCCTAGGCTGTTGAGACGTATCGACAGCAGCAGGTACCGCGGCGATGCTGTTCCTTGACCGCCGTCGCTGCAGCATCTGCTGCTGCTGTTGCTGCTGAACCAGCACAACGTGGGGGTATGCAGCCTCTGACGCTGGAGCTGAAGCAACAGACGACACGGAGGCCTGGGGCGGCGTGTGCGAGGGCGCATGAGCCTGTGCATGGGCCTGCTGTGTGTCATCGGCAAACTTGACAGTCTTGCAGAGCTCAGAGAGAGTGATGTTGCGGAGCACATCTGCGATGGAGATGATGATGCCTTCTTGGCGACAGCAGACGAGCAACTTGGTGGCGAGAATGTCGTCGCCACCAGCTTTGATGAAGCCGTCTGCGCCGCTTATAACTGTCTCGTCCTCAATGTTGAGCACATGGGCCCAGATCTGACGCATCCGCTCTTCCATCTGGCCCAGCGGGGCCGGCTGCATGCAGTACCGTTGCACTTCGCCCGGGTTCGGCACCGTTGAAAGGGCGACCAGTTGGTCCCGGGAGAGGCCATAGATGATCTTCTGCAGCTTGCGGCGGTTGACCTTGAGCGAGGCCGTCACCGGCAGGTGCTTGACGGGGATATAGATCTGCGGGACCATATAGGATGGCACCGCATTGCGCAGGCCTATCTCTACAAGCCGTCGTGCCGCAAAGAGGCGCTCGCGGGTTGTTCGCGACAGCTGGCGCAGATCCTCAGGCCCATCAAACATCTCGCCAAGCTCAATGAAGGCAGTCAGCACAGGCTCGACCTGGACCCCCTTGAAGGCAATCGCCTCGGTGATAACGTCAACTCCAAGGTCGAGACTGCGGCGAATGTGCTGCTCCAGCTCCGAAATGATGATGGTGTGTCCGCCAATCTCGAGGTCCTCCTTCTTGCTCGAGATGATCTGAATGAAGCCTCCCTCGGTGTAGCGGACGCGGTGGCCCGTCTTGAAGTACCGAGTCTTCTTGTTTGAACCACCCGTCGAGAAGTCGGCAGAGTTCCAGTGTGCCTGGTCAACCTGGCCGTTGCGAAAGTCATAGCCCAGGGTCGGGCCCTCGATGACAAGCTCGCCAACGGCACCAATGGGCATCAGCCTTCGGTGGTCGTCGGGGTTGACAATCCAGAAGTTGCCCACAAGCGGGCCGCCGATGCGGTTGAGCTGGTGAGGGCCAAAGACTTCGAGAAACGAAATTCCCAGGGGGCAGATGTCGGGCGCACCATAGGCAAAAAGCACCTTCTTCTTGCCAACCCACGGCGCGTACGAGTCCTCGTCCAGGGACCGAGTGCGGAAGCAGATGGTCTTGAGGGTCGGTAGGATGTCGACGTTTAGCTTGCGCGAGAGCAGGGGCGTCATGTAGGACCAGTTGACCTCCATGCGCTGCACCGCGCCCGTGAAGTCGAGGACGCGCTCAGAGTCGGTAGGGATGCAGACGCACCCGCCGTGGATGAGGGTCGCAAAGATCTCAGATAGCGCAATATCCACGTTGTACGACGACAGCTGCATGACCCTGCTTGACGCCGAGATCATGGCCGAAGGGCCTTGCGTCAGCAGCGCCATCGACATGGAGGCGTGCGAGAAGGCGATACCCTTGACCTGCCGAGACGACGCTGGCACGAAGAAGACGCAGGCGATGTCCTCCTCGGATGTGTGCGTCACTGTGGACCGCATCGGCTGGAGCTGGAGCTCTCTCAAGAGCTCGGGGTTCAAGACAATGACTTTCTCAAAGAGATTGCCCAGAACTGCCGACGCGTTCTGGCACTGGATAGCCACATGTGACGAGTTGAGCTGCTCGAAGATGGGCTGGATGAAGCCCATGTCGGACGCATCGATGGGAACGAACGCAGCGCCCGTCCTGAGCACCGCCAGCATGGCAACCGGAGACCAGAAGCTCTTCTCGAGGACAAGAGGGACCGTGTCTCGGTGCCCGACACCGGCGTCCATCAGGCGCTGCGCCAGACGGGAGGCGAGATCGTCGAGCTGATGGTAGGTGAGCTCGCCATCCCACGCGCGGATTGCGATCGCCTGGGGGCTTTCGCGGGCGTTCCTCTCCACAAGCTCGTGCACCACTGCGGAACGCGGCTGAGGGGTGTCCCTCTCGTTGGCCCAAGCCACAACCTGGGCGTAGTCGTGATCGGTGAAGAGGTCGACGCCCTCTATGGAGCCACTGGGCATCTCCAAGATGGAATTGAGGGCCTTCTTCAGGGTGTTGGACACATTCCTCGCTTCACGCTCCGAAAGTAGCGAGTTGCTGGCAATGTCGACCACGAGACTGCCGTTCATGAAGCGGGCGTTGACGGCCAGGTCGAAGCTGGAGGTCTCGCGGTGCGACACCCCGTGGAGCCCAAAGTTGGTCTGAGTCGCGGCGCGGCTGTCCAGCCCGGCCGGCTCGTAGGTGAGCGAGACGCATGAGTTGAAGAAGCGCTCGGGGCCGCGAACTCCAAGGATGTGGTGAAGCTCTGGGATAGAGACGTATTGGTGGCGGAGGCTAGCGACGTACTCGGACTCTACAGTCTTGAGCATTGATGACAGTGACTTGAACGGCGACAGCGTCAAGTTGCACACGATGGTATTGCCGAAGCAGCCAACTACGTTGCGCATGCTGGACCCGCCTGATACAGCCTCGCGCCCAGTGGCGCGGTAGCCGAAGCAGACCTTGTCGTTGCCAACAAACGCCCGGAGCACGAGGCCCCAGGCAAGGCGCAAGACAGCATCCCCGGTGACCTGGTTCGCACGGGAAAAGTCCATAAACGTCTTGGCGTCAATTTCAAGGTCGAAGTGCGAGTTCTCGTAGAAGCGCTGCTCGTTTGTGATGAGGACGAGACGCGGGAAAGTACACGGCTCGACGTCCTTGAGTCGTTGCATCCAGAAATCGAGGCTCTGGCTAGTGCGTGCCGTCTCGAGGAACTTGAGGTACTCGGGGTAAGTCAGGCTCGTGGCATCCTGTAGCGGCGTGTTTAGAGCGTAGGCGCGGCGGACGTCAACGAAGATGGTATTCATACTCTGGGCGTCACAGAGAGCCCCATTGATATCGAGCTTGACCAGCGTTTTAGTTGGTGCTTTGCAAACAGCGAACCTATGCTGCGGCCGGGAGGTCCCGGCCGGGACCATGGGCAGGTTGTTGAGAGCCTCGATGGGATCCTCGCCGGCGTGGACGTCGATAAACAGCATGTGTGGTGAGCACCTTTGGAGGACGACCTGGTCGTAAACGCCCGTCTCGGATACACTCTCGATAAAGACGGTGCGGAGCGCCGCATGCTTCATTGTGACATTCTGCCACGCAGCGCACAGTCGGGAAATATCGACGGACTCGCCCACTGCCGAAGTGAGCTCATAGATGCCGTGAAGCTGCGACGACTCGGGGACGCTCTCCTGCCTGATGAGAATGGCCTGCTGGACAGCCGTGACGGGATAGACGGCCTCGATGTCGCGCACGCTACTCAGACCGAGAGTGGCCAAGCGGTCCTTGTTCAACTTTTCCAGTCCGGCATATGTCACATCAAGCTGCGGCACGTCTGCCAAGGTGAGCTCCGGGGCGTGGTAACGCAGCCGGCCGATGGCCTCAAGCAGAAGGTGCTCAAAGTTCTCGACCCACTGGGAAATGAGCTCCTGGTGCTGCGACCGACGGTTATACAGCAGTTTGACCTTGGCCGAGCCCCGCGAGATGACAGTGTTGACCTCAAACAGAGCTATACGGCCAACTCTAGGGCCAATGTCAGAAGTCTTGGACGCCAGCGTCCTGCCCGGGATTTTCAGCTGCTCCAGAACGCCGTTCTCCCGCTCAAGCTGCTGCATGGATCCCGCGTGGCTGAAAATCAGCTCTATGGGCCAGTCCTCGGTGAACAGGTCAGGGCCGCTGCGGTTGAGAAACTTGGAGGCGAAGTATTGCGCTCCCCGCCTCGGCATCGCGCGTCGCAGGTCCTTGAGCCGCCGCACAACATCCAGGAAATCGTTCCTTCCAGGCTCTAATACCGAGCCAATCGGGCTCAGGCTGGTGAACCAGCCTACCGTGTCAGTTATGTCAACGGTCGGGTCGGCGACATCGCGGCCGTGCTCCTGGTTCCAAATGACGGGAACCGGCCGGTCGTGGAAGGTCTGGGAGAAGGAGAGGAGAAGGGCGGCCAGATAGATGTCGACGGAGTCGGTTCGGAAAACCTTGTTGCAGGTCGTCTGCAGTATCGTTGTCAGCTCTGGGCTCAGGCAGAAGCTGACTTCGCGGGAATCGGCGTAGGTGTTTGGGGCGTCCTGCAGGCCCCAGTAGGTGTAGTTTCCCGCGGGGGTGCCGGTTGGGATTGGGCTGCTGATGTCCGCCTGCTCGATCTCGCGCTTCTGGAGCTGGTTCCATTGCTGGAAGGGTAGCGACCGTTGGGATAGCAGGCTGCCGTTCACAAGGAGTTCGTCCAGGTCCTGGATGATGACTCTCCACGAGAGCAGGTCGACGACCAAATGGTGTGCCACCATGTAGATCATCTGATGGCCGTCGTTGGTCTGGACGTGATCCACGGCAAACACGGGCCCCTGCTCGATATCTACCAGGGTCTGGCTCTCTTCGATGATGGCCTGGAGCTCCTTGTCGGTGCTAACTGTATGGAAGCGCAGACTATAGGAGCCGGCACCTGTAGGGACAACGCGCTGGGTCCATGCGCCCGTCGAGGCCTTTGAAAATCGGGATCGGAGCATCGCGTGGTGTCCTACCACGGCATCTACCGCGGCCGAAACGTCGTCGAGAGCAAAATTCCTGCTTGTCCTGAGGAGGACGCTCTGGTTGAAGCGGTAGCTGCCATCGCGCACCGAACGATTGGTTGAGTCGCCGCCCATTGCCGTCAGGAAGTAGAGGTTCTGCATCGGTGAGAGCTCGACTCCGCTGTTGAGAGGCGAGCCGTCCCAGCGCGGAGAGGGTTCGGCACGCGTCGAGGCGATCCTCGCAAGCTGCGCCAGCGTGTGGTTCTGCATAACCTCGGACGAGTTGAGAAAGATGGAATCGGCCTTGGCTATTGCCACGACCTGTGTGGCGCTGATGTCATTGCCGCCGAGTTGCGCAAAGGAGAAGTTCATCCCAATGTTCTCAACAGGCATCTGAAGCGCCCTGCCAACGGCGCCCCGCAACGCCTTCTCGATATCAGTCAAAGGCTCCTTCACGGCCTCCTCCACATCCATGCTCATGATCAGTTGCTCCGTCCCGGCGTTGACATTCTGGATCCAGGTCCGCAGCCTTCTCTTGTTCACCTCGCCAGTCTCAGCTGTGGGCACCCTCCTGAGCACGATCCAAACTTCGGGGATCTCGCATCCCCTGGCAGTTTCCTGAAGGCTGCGTCTGATTGCGGCGACCTTGGTTCCGGCGAGGAACATGTGGGATTGCGGAATGACCTCGACGTCCGACGTGGGGCTCCCCGAGATCTCGATGCCGTGCAGCTCAAGGAACGCAACACCCTTCCCGTCGAAAGGCCCCGCCCGTGGCTTTATGATGACGGACCGCTCGACGGCGGCATTGTCGTCTATCAACTTGTCGACATCTACCTCGACTGCGGGGGGCGAGAGCACGGCGCTCAATGTGCTGGAGTTGCGCGAGTGCAGCGTCGAGGCATCGCTGGCGTAGGAAAATCGGCTCGGTTTGCGGGGTCGGAGCTGTAACGGGTTATGGGAATCCGAAGCGTCGGCCGGTGTTATTGTATCGTCACGCCTGCACGGTTTTATGCACGTCTCGAGCTCGGCGATGGTAACGCAGCTCAGGATGTCTTTCGTCCTAACGTCCAGGCCGAGACTCCTGCATTTCCTCCTGAGAAGGGTCGCTGTGCGCTGGTCGCCGCCCAGGTCTTGAAAAGAGTCCATCGCCTGTATCGAGCCGGCATCGAGCTGTAGGACATGGGCGATGGCCCACATTAGCTTGGAGCCTAGCGGCTCTTCTCTTATAATGTCGGACGCGTCCCAAGAATTTGTCGTCGTATCGATGTGGGGAAGTTGGTGCTTTGGTGAAGCCAGCGGCTGCATTGAGTAGTCCATTGTGATGTGTGTTCCCCCCGAGAATGCGGGGAGCCGAATAGGAGGGTATCGTACGGTGAGGAAGAAAGAACAAGACAGACAAGGGAAAATAATCAAGGACGAGAGCAGGCACTTCTCACAGCCCTCTAGCGAGAGAAAACGCCATGGGTATCAATAACGAAGAAGATGGAAAATAACAAAAAGGGAAGAAATGTTTCCAACTAGGAAGGTCCTTGGATTGGCGAAACGGCCGAAAAGGGAGAGAAGGAAACCAAGAGAGAGAAACCATGTGGTGGACCAGCAGCGGGATCAAAAGGCATCATGTACGATGTGCGCCGCCCCGGGACGTGTCATCCGGGAGCTGGGGGTCAGGCAACGGCGACGCCAGGATGTTGGAGTGAGATCCACTGTCGGACGCCGGCTGGGGTTAGGCCGCGGGATTCCTGGGATCCTGGACAGAGTAACACTTGAGAGGAGGGGGGGGCCCCGTAAGCTTCCTCAGATATAGCCGGCCCCTCGCCACGCGGCAGTCAGTGAGCGCAGCGGCAAGCAGAGCCAAGGTCGGCTGAGCTCAGCCTCTCGAGCCAACTCAAAAAGACGACCAATGGTCGGGGGCGAAGCCAGACGCGCGGGGAGGATTTAGGGTCGGCAGCGCTGATGCTGCTGCTGCTGCTGCGCTGGCAGCGAGCGAGCTAGAGCTGGGGACGCCGACGGGCAGTGGGGGGAAGATGCGACGAGAGGGTCAGCTGCGCATGAAGCCGACGGCGGCGCCGCAAAAGTTGGAATGGCATTGCCTGGGACCAACCCAGCCCGGACAGCAACCAGGACAGCAAGGGCCAGCGATCAGACGGAGTCGTTCGCAAGATGCCAAACACAGAGGAGACAGGGAGTGCACGCGTCACGAGTCAATCGAGGGCGAAGAGCAGCCCGAGTCCCCATCGGTTCGCTTCAGGGCAGCGGGGCTGAGCCAGGGCGCGGAAGGAGAGAGCGGGCCTCACCCCGTGCGGTGTTGCCATCTGTCGAAAAAAAAGAACAGGGCTAGCCCGATCGGGAGAGACTTGGCATTTTCGGAGAATAAACGGCCAATCAATGCCGGCGCGCAATGTTGGCAGGACCCTGCTGTGGCGGTTAAGCTTGCTTGCCTGAGTGACAGGTTCCTGCACGGTGCATCTTGGCGAGAGTGCCAGTCTGGAATAGAGTGGTGTTGTGGAAGGCGAGGTGCAAGCAACCCAGCACAACGTTCGAGTCATTAATGGATGCCCGGAAGAAGAAAATACGTTGGTCATCTTGTGAATACCACACCGCGTATCAAAAAGACGGAGGTAGGTTGGCTTGTCGCTGAGATGGAATTAGAACCCAACTGTCAGTGCAACTGTGCAAGTCAATCTGGCATGTGAGCATCAACTGTGACTAGCAAATGCAGCTTTATGCTACGTTTCCTCGAGAAAATTGCACGATATCGCCGTCGACCTACGGCGTGTATTATGCGTGGCTTTGAAAGCCAAAGACAGCATGACAATCAAAGCTGGAAATCTGCATTTACCAAGCGAACCCAAAGCACCTGATCGCTGCTGCATACCGGTACACTACGGCACAGTGAGATGGTGGGGTCGGCCGTACTGGCCAGTAGCCTAACTGCCATCCACAAGCCTCCACTATGTGGCGTAGCAAGAGTAAGCCTCCAGGCCTTGCTATCACCAGCAGTAAGCGGTGGCCAGACCCCTCCCGAGAGCTGTTTGGTTCAATCGTCGCACGCCAGCTCTCTGTGCCGTCGTCTCAAGAGGTGCGGGTAGAGCCATACCTATGTTCCTGGCCCAGCGACGGGTTACGACCTCGCTTAATGCTCGCTAGTCCCGCATTCCCCCGGCATATCGCCTCTTATTAGAAGCCCGATCCCGCCGGGCGCGATGTCTGCCTATGCCGTAACCCCGTGCCTGATTCTGCATAAAGAAGCCGGCCCTTCCTGCCATATGCACTATGGAATCTCTTCGTATAAACGGTCGCACTTTGGATGAAGATGCACCCATGCCTCGAGGTCTTGCAATGAAAGGCAGCAAGCAAGCCCCCTACCCTTGACGAGTGGTTTAGACCTCTTCCTTCCGTTGATAGATTCCTCCGGGATCAGACGGGGAACGACGCCAACCCTCGGATGAAACATGGCACATACGTTCGTGACCGGGACCCGCGGAAAGCCATCGCTTTTTTGCCTCTGGTCGTATGTCTAACCACAAGCCGTGGCGAAGCAATGTGACCACCACAGGCTTGGATATTCGCGATTGCAGCACCATTCACATACATTTCGTCGCAGCGTATCTAATTCACTTTCTAGTTTCCTGGTTTGTGTTGGTCAAACACGCACGGGCGGCTCACCCTACCAAAAATACCTACCCGACCCCACGATCCGCAAGAGCCTAGTGGACATCGTCCGACCTCAACAAAACCCTAATCAGCCATGATTACAATCAGCGCCATGGATATAGTGCTTAGCGCCTTGGGTAGGCTTGCACCCATGTTAGCTTTGCACCGTCGTACCTATGGCACCATGCCGGCCCTGTTCGTCGTTGACCCCACAGAACGCCTCATTCTCGGTGTTTCTGGAACGTTGAGAGGTGACCGAAAATAGCAGGGGAGCGACAGGGCCTGACCGAAGCGTGTGACGTGTGTGTGTGCGTAGGCGCAGAGCCAAGCCGTGCACCTGTCCCGGGGGCCCACGTCGGGAATCCTGCAAGCCAACTCTGACAGGAGACCGGAGTGCCGGTGGGTCAGCAAGTAGAGTTGATGTGTATGTGCATGGAACGTCCACGGGATGTGAGTTACCCACGGCCGATCCCTTGGTCTCCGGTGAATTGTCGTTTGTTCGATGTTGCGATACCGTCACCTGTCTACAACACACTCAGCCTTCGGGCCGAGCGGCTGAGCGTATGTGCTCGCTTGTGCACCAGCCAGTTGTCCGGCAATGAAGTTGGTCAGGATCCCCAGCTCGGGGAGGGGTTGGTTGTGATAAAGGATTGTGTGTTGGCTGTCTTGTCTCTTCTGTGGGTGCCAGTCTGCCTCACTAGTAAAAGATACGAGGTTATTTAATCTGGAAAATAACGCTTACCTGTATGGTTACAATACCAAAGTGATGCGTTACGTGCCCCTCGGCCACGCTTCGTTTATAGATTCCATAACGTCTGCTCCTGTTTGGAAATACCTATGGACTGGTCAAACTCCACCCAAAGCGTCAAGGCCGGGATGTGCCCCTCAAGCATCGTACCGCAGGAGATCAATACATTTGAGAGTGAATTTCATATTTCGCCTTCATGTGCACGCACTAAAGTGGTACATGGGGGCGTAGTCATCTAGGCCAGCCCGTTATGGAAGCCCACCAGTGGCAAAGGAAAAAAAAGAAGAAGCAGGAATCATGGCGTCATGTCAACCCAAATCCCTCACGCCTTCCAGGCCTTCTCCCGCAGCCACCTCCCTATCCGCTCAATCTCGTGGATCGTCTTCATCTCGGCGTCCTTGATGCTCTCCTCGTCGCCCATCATATCCCGCATCGTCTTACAGTCGAAACCGTGCAGCACGTCCGGCACAAGCATCCACTTGACGCCGCCCCTGCCGTCGTCGGCCTCGTCGTCGAACCCGAACCGCTCATCCCCGCCCTCCTCCTCGTCCAGCTCGCCGCGGCGCCGGCTCGGCGCGCGCCTGCCGGCAAAGGTGAGCGACGTGTTACCCCAGGCGAGGACGTCGGGCAGGTCCCGCCCGGCGCCGCCGAGGCGGCGCTCGTTGGCCAGGCGGACCGCGAACCGCCACGACTCGTGCGCGAGCATGTCGAGCTCGCAGGCCACGACGCACACGTAGGGCGGCAGGGCGGCCTCGGGCGCGTACGCGGGGCTGAGGAGCGGGTCGCGCAGGTCATGGCCGTAGGGCACGTAGCTCCAGTCGAAGGCGGGCGCGAGCCGGAGCAGCGAGTCGGTCCACTGGCCCCGCGGCTGCGGCAGCTTGACCTTGTACACGCGCGACTTGACCTTGGCCGCGGGCGGCGTGGCCAGGTCGAGCGCCCCGTAGACGGTGACGGCGGCCGCGGGCGCGCCGTGGCGCGAGTCGCGCACGCTGGCGAGCTGCGACAGCGTCAGGGCGAGGTTGCCGCCCGCGGACCAGCCCAGGATGGCGATGCGCGCGCGGCCGTCGGCGCCGCCCGTCGTGGCGCCCGCGCGCGCGATCGGGAGGGACTCGTCGCCCAGCACGGCGCCGTACACGGCCTCGAGGTCGTGCAGCGCCCCCGGGAACGGCGAGGCGGGCGCCTTGGAGTAGGACAGCGAGATGACGAGGACCTTGTGCTTGTTGGCGAAGTCGCGGTTCCACTCGTCCGCGTCGCGCGCCGTGCCGATGCAGAAGCCGCCGCCGTGGATGGTGATGAGGGTCGGGAGCAGGGCCGAGGAGGACTGGTCGTGGTCGGCGGGGAAGAAGATGCTGGTGGGCTCACATGCTAGTCAGTATGGGGTGGTCCTGTCTGCCTGTCACTCGTATCTTCAGGCTGTCGCCCGCGAGGGCAGCGGGCAACTGACCGGACGGGGAGATAAGGGCGGCAGTCGTAGGCCTTGACAATGTCCGGGCGGCCGTCCGGCGGAGAGTACCACTCCTTCCACTCGTGAAACCATACGAAGCCCGAGATGATGCTCTGCGTGGTGTACATCCAGGAGGCGTAGGCCATCCTCTGGAGCAGCGACGGGGTCTCCATGTTTGTACGCTTCGCCAGGGCGGCCGCATCCGGCCCCTCCTCGGAGGCGGGTCCTTGCGGTTTCTTTCTCATGGCGGCCCTCGGTTGGAAGTTGTGCGTATCGGGGCTCTTGGCGGCGGGTCGGCTATGTGCGTATTCGGGGTTGCGGTCGGGCTGTGTTGACCGGCTGTGGGTGACTTTGTCAGTTAACTGCCGAGGTAGGCCTCATATGGGGATCCTCGCAGGACCAGCGACGGGAACGGCGAGCTGGAGGGGGGAAGCTCACCCTGAGATAGATGGAAACGTAGAGCAGGGCCAGTGCCCCATATATGGCCCGGCAAAGCATCGTGGGGGACACGCGGAAGAAGACCAGACGCGGCCGGCCACTGAGGCGCCGAGATGCAAAGCGACGGTTAATTTATCCGGGCCTGACGGTAGCCCTGGGGTGTGTTTCGGCACTTGGGAAAGGCAATAACAGTGTGAGATAGGGACCGGGCAATTTGCTGTCCCGTCGAGCCGGAAACGTGCGTAGCATTGAGCGGCGTCATGGCATGGAGAGGAGACAGCAGAGCATGGGATGGGTGCTCTGTGCGTCCAATCACACGCAGCCCTGCCAAGATGGACCCTAGAAAGGTCAGCTCTTGACGGCCAACCTCCGGCCAAATCAACGGCCTCAACTGCATCACGCTCCTCCTTCGTAACTGGTGCCGATCACCAGGAATAAACCAGCCACTCCAGCACGCAATGCCAAGGGCCTTATACGTACTGTACATGGCATCTATTTGCTTTCGTCGCATCTTGGCGCATAAATACCTCCGGCCCATTGACGTGTCCCAACCCAAGCATCACCGAGTCGTGTGGCAAGGATTGCACTTTTTAAGACCAATATCGAAATCGTACATATAAACATGACTGGGAAGCAGATAAAGGCATCCAGAGCTGACGCGAAGCTGGAAAGGCTTGCCTCTGGTGTAGTTACCGGCTTTTCGTGGCCTGATTTGTCCATCCAAAATCTTAGCAATCAATCAGTGCGCAGTACAAAAGCGAGCGTATTCCCATCCCCAAGGGACTGGGCCGGTTCTCTTTGCTCTTGCCCTACGTTTCCTTCGGATAGGCTGGGGCAAGGTGAAGAGCAATACACCATACGAGCGCAACATGTAGCCTTTGAGCAATTGCCCGTGGCTGACTAGGCTTCACCTCCCAGAGAGGAAACCACGTGTTGTGGCAGACACCTACTACATTCGTGCCGAGTGAGGCTCCAGCCATCAAACCTTCCGCATTCCTGGGTCTTGGACGGGGAGGCCCGCCGGACCGCAGTGGCAGGATGAAGAGCTGAAAGCAGAACAAAGAGAAAAGGGCGGAGTGCGGCCCAGGCAATTTCTTCTTTTTCTTCAATTTTTTTTTCGTTCCATTGGTAGGAACAAAGGAGTGACCATGGAGCAAACCTCCTGTGATTTCCTTTTAGCTGTCCATAAAAACGCTCGTCGATCATCCCACCATCCAAGCTTGATACTGATCAATCTTGATTCACTCGCTTGCACTCTCACCAGCCTCGGCTACATCATAGCTATTCCCACCGTCAATCGCTGCCAAAGACACCTTCGACCGGTGGCACCTCGGCTCCCACTGGCCTTGCCGCTATTCTCAACCGCCACTCCCCTTCTTTTTGCGACCTGAGGTGCCAATACAGAACCACGATAGCGCTCGAGATGCTACCACCGAAATCCCCCCCGGCCAAGAGCACATGCAGCTCCATCTACTCCTGGTACTGGGCCACATCGGCGGCCCCGATGCCCATCTCGCCCGACCGCCGGCTCTCGAAGCAGTCGCTGGCGCGGTGGGATGGCATCAGGGATCTCTGGCCCGCGGACCCCTCCTCTCCGGGCCGCCGCGGTGCAGACCCCCCCAAGACTTCCCGGGAGCGCCTCTACATCTGGGAGCAGCCCGGGGAGAACGCGCTCGCTTCCATCAGCCACCACTCCGACCCATACCACCGGCACTGCGAACCGCAACAACACCCGCTTGGAAAGGCAACGCCCATCGTCCTCGAAGCACCGCCGGCTTTCGACGAGACCTGCAGCCTTCCCGAGCTCACATACGCCGGATCCTCCACCGGCCCGGGCAGCCCTTCCTCCTTCTATACCTCCTCCCCCGAGCCAGACGAGGAGGCGGTCTCGGTGATTGCGACAGACTCTGGTGGAGACTTCGACGGCGGTGACTACGACGACAGCGACAACGACCCCCAGGACCTCATCCGCCACATAGTCGCAATGGCGGCCGCGGACCTGCGCGCAAAGGCCTCGGGCCGCTCTTCGGGGAGCAGGAGTAGCGGCAACAGCAACAGCAGCAGCGCCACGACGCCGACGACGACGACGGACCAGGAGGCAAGCGGGCCGTTCAAGCTCCGCTGGGACGCCCCGGTCTTCACGCCGATGGTCCGGTGATCTTTGGCTTGGTGGAAAGGGCAATCAACCCCCCCCGAGCTCGGGCGGGTTGACACGACACAACAGGGTGGTGAGAGCGGGAGATAATAGGGAAGAAGGGGAAAGCAACACTGTCGGCCTGGACAAACCAGGTGATGCTTGGCATAATGTGTTCAGCCACCCCTTTACACATCGTTTCTTTTTCAGATGCTTCCTCTCATGGATGCGACGAGACCACATCCCGAGAAGGAGACTCGAGTGGTTCTCCCCTGCGGGAGAACGGATAGGGAACGCCGGGCATGATAGAGTGCACAGGAGAAGCAGGAGTTCTAGGTTCATTACCAGGTCACTAGACTAGCGAATATTAGAGAGAGGCCCAAGCCCATGTTCTTCAACCTGCTCAAGTACGCAGGCGAGTACCTACCCGCTTGGACATGTGCTGTGAATCTCAGGTCTTGGGTGACTTCTCACACGCACGTACGTGGGCTCACAAATAACTACGAACTACCTATCAGGGCATTTATGTGAGTCCAAGAGGGAGTTTGGGGTCAGAGGAGAAGCAACGCCAAACGCAAGTTATCGTACAACAGGAACCAAACGAGTGATGAACAAAGGTATCACGTCGTCGTCCAACTAATCCCCAGGCGAGGAGAGGCGGCGAGGCACGACATTGCCGGCGCCAACACTTGCCTACCTACCCTTTACGAATCTACCAAATAATCGCGTCCATTGATTCCGGTTCCTTCCCATGTGTCCCGAGCGGCCGTTGGTGAACGAAAAAAGACTTCTTCGGTTACCTTTATGTGCGCTCCGTCCATGCCCGTTCCTCCATCCTTCATCATTTACCTGGTCTGGTTCAATGCTTTACTCCTGACCCAGTACTCCTTGATGCCTCAAAGTTACACAGCGCCTATAATTCTAGTTTCTATCGATACCAAACTCAAAAGAGACAGAAGCAGAGCCTGGAAGGAAAGGCAACAACAAGCGTCAGAAGAAAATGCAAGCGGACGGCAGGGATTGGGCATGATGAGTGCATGCAAACGCGACTAGAAGGGCAAATGGACGTACTGTAATCACGACCGCCCCTGGTTCTTGCTGCGCCTTTGGGAACCAACACCGAACAAGAAGCTTTCAAGGTGGGCTGCATCTCTGCTCAGACGACAACCTCCTCGTCCTCTGGATCTTCGATGCTCGTCCGCCTCTTGGCCTCCTTCGCCCTCGACACCCTCTTGCCGTCCTCGTCCACTATGACGGGCTCGTCGTCAGTAGGAGTCGCAGTCGCGGCAGCTTTCGGTGCCTCCGTGTCGGCCTTTGCAGGCGGCGGCGGCCCGCCCTGCGCCTCGGCGACCTTGGCGTCCAGAGCAGCCACCTTGTTGCCGGGCGTAGACAGGGGCGAGACGGGGCTCGCTGTGATGGGGGAGATGATGCTGAGCTTGCCCTCGGCTTCACCGCCGCCGGTAGGGGTGCCGGCCTGAGCCATGGCCACGCCGCTGCCACTCTTGAGCCCGGTAACCAAGCCCACGGCCGTAGACCCCGAGCCAGTCGACCCGAAGCCGAGCCCGTCAAACGGCCAGAGGCTGCCAAACTTGCCCCCAGATGAGTGCGGTGGGTGTACAGGCAGCGGCTTGAGCAACACCTTCTCCCGCTCGCGATCAAAGAGGGCGCCCACGGGGCCGTCCGACGCGCGCACCGGCGGATCTGTGACCTCGGGCATGGCGAAGTCGCCAAACTCCTCGTCGTCGTTGTCAACATCGTCGTCGCTGTCGTCGTCCCTACCATCCCCGAAGCGCTCGTTGGTGCTGTCGCCTTCGCCCGGCCGTTTGCTCCGCACTACCCCGCGCCACCAGTTGCCGCGGTTCCAGCGGGAACCCGAGCCGGTAGCCTTGTCTCCTTCCGCTCCACCCGATCCGCCTCCAGTGATCAGGTCGGCATCATCATCGTCATCGTCGTCATCGTCAATATCGTCTGCAAATGGATCACGCAGTCTCTCAGACAGCGGCGCGGCCGGCTGAAGCTGGGCCGATTCGGGGCTGTCCGGGTTGACACTCCCGTCAAAACTCGGCCGACTTCCCGATGCGAAAGATACCGCGCCATTTTCTTGAGCACCAGCGCCCTCAGCCGTACCCGAATCGGTAGCCGTGCCTGCTGTGCTTCGCTTGTTCATCGCCAGGCGTGCCGCGAGCTGTAGGCGCGCACGAGATGGCGGTATGTTCAGCGGCGGCGGTGGAGGAGGCGGAGGCGGCACAGATGGCGGATTCAACGATGAAGACGAGTTCAACGGGTCTGTGTAGGCTCGAAACTGAGCGTGAAAGTCGGGTTGAAAGTCGGGTTAGTTGAAATAGATGCTTCCAGGAATCCTGCGTTGTCACGGGCACCAAATAACGTTCAGAAAGAGAGAAATTCGAAAGGACACTGGTCCCAGAGCGAGATCACCTTGTGAGTCTTGCGTCGTTGAAATGAAGAAAAAAAGGCAGAGCGAAAGACGATAACGAATCAAAGGGTTTCCATAGCCATGGAAATCGGGCAGCCGAGGGACCAGTTGGAGTGTGTTTGTCGCGTCGGGACCTCGGGTCGCTTTGTTGGCGTCTTTCCAGGGACGACGGATCCATGCCGTCGTTAGCCAACCACACCTGACCACCCTGAACCACCACTCCTGTTTGCACGTGCACACCTGCCTCGCCGCAACTGCAACATGGAAACACGACCACAGCGCCCCGATGCCCCACAGCCGGATGACACAGGGAGACACCGGAGGAAGGAGAGAGGGCGGGGAGATCCGAGCCAAGCTGGAGGACCAGGTCTGGCATCATCCACCTCTCTCTACCTTTCCTCGGATCTCACGCTGAGCCCTCCCCGGCCACACTGCCCCTGACACAAACAACGGGCTGATTCCCACTCTTTCATACAATACTCCAACCATACTCCATAAACACAGTACAATGCCTCTTAGGTTCAAGCCTCCTAAACGCCGTGTTCCAGTTGAGCCGTTTTCCCCGCACGCCACGCTTGTCCCGCTGAAGCACACACACCACCCTGTCCGGCTTTAGGGCACCATCGATTGGGACCTGGCGAAGCCACTGCGAGCGACACGCTTCGGCATGTCGTTCGGAAGAAGTTGCGACGCATCGGGGCCATCGTCGTGGGTCATGTGGGCTTGGGCACGGTCCTTGGTTGGAGAGTGCTCTCGACCACACCGACCAACACTGGCAAAGTCTGGCTCGTCGTGTGCGATATGGTGGTCGTCGCAGTCGCATTCCGGGGAGTTCGCATTCTCGTCTCGATCCAGGTCCAGTCCAGATTGGCAATCGATGGAGTCGATCTCGCTGACGCCGACGGGGGTGGTCTTGTCGTCGCCCGAGCCATCATGGTGGTCCTCGTATGGTCTGATATCGTCATAAACACGCTGATACTGCGCGCTGAGACCTCTACCAAGGAGCGGGCGGCTCAGATCCATGCGCGCCAGGGCCTGCTCCATCGCCGGCACGTCCCCGACCTTTGACTGCGGTAGAGAGAGCCACTGACCCTTGTAGTGGTGCGCGACACACTTGTCGTCATCCGCCTCATCCGCCTCATCCACGTCCTCCATGTATTCGCCCTCGTCGGAATCCACAAACATATCATCGCTGAGCTGACTGCGAGATCCACTCAAACCCCGCAGCCACGCGTACTGTCCAGCCTGCTCCGCCCCGATGTACTGATAGAAACTCGAAGAACATACAACGCGCCCTTGACTGAAGGAGATGGGGGCGATTGTCTGACCGCTGTGGAAGGGGAGACTAACCTCGTTGGTAACGTCCTCGTCGTTATCCTCATCCTCGTCCTCGTCACTGGAGCTGCCGAAGCCCGACGTGCCTCCCACCGTTCCGGAGCTGATGGCGAACTGGGCCAGTCCGCTGCCCTCCTGTAGATCCATGCCTCCATTGAGACCAGCGTCTGCGAGTGCTGACGACGCGTGGGATCCGCCCAGGCCGGAGCCGAGGCTCGATAGGCCGGCAGCCGCGAGTCCGCTGCCCTGAGCAGCGGCGCGGTTGTTCATGGCGACCTCAGGTCGGACTCCACCCAGGATGGCGTTGTCACGTTCCCGCGTCTCGGCCAACGCTCCCTCGACGTAGTTGCTCCACTCGGGGGACATGACCTTCTCGAGCACAGTCTCGGACAGGAGCTCGGGTGGGTGGCGCTCGTTGAACTTGACAACCTCCTCAGCAATCAAGGTCAAGTGTCCCATGTAGCCCATACGCGTCTTGTTCTTGGCCTCGGATTCCTCGCTAGCAAGCTGGCCGTTGATGATCTGCGCGGTTATGTCGGCCGCCTCGAACAGGGAGATGGCAAGCGTTGGGTTGTAGCCTCGGTCCATCGGGCCGTTGAAAACCTGTTGAACGACATCGTACACGACATTGTGGAGGAAGTTGTTCCAGGGATAGGTGAAAAAGAACGACTATGGTATCGCAAGTCAGCAATGAGCACATCTGTCAGACAATCGAGAGCTCTTACCAGGATTGTCGGTACAACACGGTGCTCCACAAATTGCATCTTGAGGAAGTCTCCGACGACAGGAGTGACCTTGTTGTCTTCAGAGGCTGCCTGCGTCTCGGTCTTTGGCGCAGGAACGGCGTCGGATGCCTCGCCGCCCTCTTTCTCTTGGGCCTCGACGGCGCCAGCCGTGGCCGGCTCGTTCGGAGCGTCACCCTTAGGATCCTCCATAGTCGTGTCAGGATCGGCGGCGGGCGTTGTGGCCGTGGGCACCACCTTGGCTTCCGCATCTGCGGGCTGCTTCGAAGGGGTTGAAAAGAGCGGGGCTGGCGTGTCCTCAGGGTGAGGCTCGAGGGCGGTTGCGACAGCCGTAGCTGTCATATCGGCTTGCGAAGAGCTCTTTGTCTCCGGAGTAACCGCGGGCTGGGCGTTGGAGACAGACAACATATGGGCTTCAAAGGATGGGGGCGAGGAGCCGGCCTCGGGGCTGGCAGGCCGAACCTCCACGTGACTGCCCGATGCAACATCCAAGTCCTCTCCGAGATGGTCGTCGCTAAGTCCCAACTCCTCGATTTCCTTAATCGCAGTTGTGACGCCCATTGGGTCGGCGGCGCTAGTAGCCTCGGGTGAGGCCACGTCCGGCATGGCCAGCTTCTTGGGTGACAGCGGCTCGACCACCATTTCCGGGTCTTCGAACTGATGATCCTCCATCTTAATGTCGGAAACATTAAGTCGCGGCGAGCTTAGGGGCTCGTCAACGAAGTCATCCTCGTCCTTATCGAGGAAAGACGAGGTCGGGAGCGACTGCTGTATCTCCTCCTCAGCCTTGATAAACTCGTGGGAGGTATCCTCGGCCATCTCGGCAGCGCCAATGACTTCCTCAAAACCGTCGTCGTCGGAAATGTTGGTGACTTCGAGGCGCCTAACCTCGTCCGCAGGTGAGGCCCCGGGGATCCTCATGGTGAGATCTTCGGCGCTCGACGGCGCCTCCTCGCCGCGGACAGCGGTCAAGCTGCCCTGGGCCCTGAGGCGCTGGCGCTCAGCATCTCGAGCCGCAATCAGGTCCTCGGATCCAACCTCGTTGAGCAGGCCCATGTTGCTGCAGTGAAGAAGCTCCGCCATGAGCTCGCAAGTCTTGAACCTGTCGAAACCCAATGGTTGGATCTTACCGCCAAAGGTAGACTCAAGGTGTGGCTTCTGAGCCTGGCCGATCATTATCAGGTCCATGAATCTTGGCACATTCTCGGCGAACAGGCGTAGTAGGGTGCCCAGGTAGATAGGGTCGCGGCTCGAGGGCACCGAATTGGCCTCGACGCCAACGTCTGGGTCATAGTCCGAGTTGTTCTTGCGGATCACTTCGATCACAATGCCGACGCCCACCGTCAGGGCGTTTCCGCCACCTAGCATGTACCCAATCAGCTGCTCGATGCAGGGTCTCGAAACAAGTTGCCTCGTAAGTTCGTTCGGTCCGATGCACGTCTGCTCGTTCTGGGAAGCATTGGCAGAAACCGTGATTATGGCCTTTATGAAGTCTCCAGCAGAGGTTTGTGTCGCCCAGCTATGCTCGGGGCCGAGGAATGAAAGTAGCGACGGCATGACATTCTTGGTGAAGAGCCACTGAGAGACGGCGAGGTAAGAAGGTTAGAGCGGCCACATACTCACATACTCGGCACCGGCGGAGCCCTCGGATAGCACGACGGATGAGCACTCACCTCAACGATACCCTGGCCATTGGCCGTGCGCTCCAGGCTGATGATCTTCAGCAACAGGTCCATGACCATTGGGCTGTCAACGTGCCTCAGCATGTTGGGAACAGCGCCGTCGACCGACTTGAGGAACTCAATCATCTCCTGTGTCTTCTTGTCGAACAGCGACTCGTTGACCTTTGTGAAATAGCTGGCCTGCAGGGGGTCCAGCGGGGACGGGCGCTGCAGGAAGTTCCAGAAGCTGCGCAACAGGTCCCGGTTCTGCACGTCCATGATGGCCTCGCAGATGGACCAGTTCTCGCAGGACAAGATCTCGCTCGCAACGAAGGCATACTTGTTGCGGCGCTTCTCGGCCTCGTCGGCCTCGCTGCCGCCCTCGGTCGCGCGCGACGACGCCCTGGGGCGGGAGAAGGAAAAGGTCAGGGCCTTGCCCTTGTCGCCATCTTCGCCCTGGTCCTTGTCCGGGACGGCGACGGGCTCGAGCTTGGGGGCGACGGCATAGTCGAGTAGCTTTTCAAGCACCTCCCGGCGCCTCAGGTGCTCGAGGAGCTTGACATTGTGCTGCTTGAGCTCCTGAATCAAATCGCTCTCATCGAGGAGCTCTTCGACGGCGAACTCGGGCTTGTCCAGTATTGTGTCGATGGCGGACGCACTGGCATAGCTGCCAAACCGCCAAAACATGGTGGCGCGCTTTCAGGTGCAGCCGGGATGAGTGGCGGTATGGCCGAGAGGAGGGCACAGTCACGACGAGGTCGTGGGGCGTCGTCGATGGTGAAGAGGGGAAGAAGGGGCGCGCCAGTGCCCGTGGCTGTGGCATGCGGCGGTCCGAGGGCTCGCGTGTGGGCGGGTCGAAGAAACGCAATCCAAGCACAAGGGCCCTGTCGGATTGGGCAGCAAGTGTCAAGTTGTGCGGATTGATGGTAGGGTATCTTGCTCAGGCTCCACAGATGATCTCCCCGAGGACGCCAGAACCAGATCTAACGCGATCGTGAATTCATGCAAATGCTCGTAGAAGTGCTCATAAGGCCGGAAAGGAGGGGTATCTCGATTGGTCTACTGTGAGAAACGGCTCCCGAGAGGCGTCAGTTCAGCGGCGGCTGGGCGTCAGGCTGCCTTTGCTGCCTCGCGGGGGGGTAGTGGGAGTGGAGTGGTGGGTAGATGGTAGGTGCTGAGGCTGCAAAGGACGATGATGTAAGAATGCGCCACGGGTCCGGCGCCTGTCAGGCCAGAGAGCGGACAGGTCGCAGAGGCGGCAAAGGTGCAAATCAGAGGGGCGATGACAGCGCCCTAGCACATGGTTGGACGCAGAGCACCGACCATGGAGAGTGAAGGATGCGACGGCGGATTAATGCCAGCTGCCGTCGCGATGTTGGAGGGCTAGGCTCTGCTTGGCAAACAAAGCAGACCAGGGTGTTGGGTGGTGCCGAGGGATTTCAATTTTGGAGGGGAGGGAGAAAACCCGAGAGTTCAATTGTGAGGTAAAAACGAGAACAACCAAGAAACGGCGGGCAGGGGAAAGCAGAGTTCGCGCCAGGCAGTGAGTGGGCAAGGTGAGGCGGGGGTGAGGGGGACGGGACGAGATGACCTACAGGAAACAAAGGCCTTCCGAATCTCTGTCGGTATAAATTACAAGAGTTGCAGAAAGGAACGAAAAGCCCCGTCGAGGACGACGGCGCGCGTGGGTTGAGAGAACAAGAACAAAGCGATGCTTGCTCCTGTTTCGGCTGGGAGTGGTTGAAAGGCGGGATGGAGAATGGGATTTGCGATGGGCAGAGTCAGTTCTGGCACACACGCACCCACCACCGAACACAACAAGGGAAGGCGGCCCACGCGACGGCTGGACTTGGACGGACTCGAACAGGTGGGCGGGCGCTTGGAAGGGCCCCCTCGTGCAACTCACTCACCTCTCCCAGCTGGTGCCGGCCCCACCTTCCACGCAGGGTGGCAGCACGGGCTTGTGATGCTGCGGGGGTTCAGGGGCCTCAACCTAGGCGGCGTGGGCAGCTGGTGCGGGCGGGTCCGTCGGCCCAAGATCTGCTTCCCGGTCTGGTCCCAAGCGGGAAGATTTTATTTCCATGCCGTCGCCATGTGGCTCAGCAGCGTTACTATACGAGCTTGGCTGGCTCTTTACATCATATCTCCATGTAACTTCATGTTCGTGTTGTCCTGCCAAGCGGTTTCCTGTGCTTGCGGGTTCTGGCCAGGGACAAATGCCATCACTGGCGGTAGTCAAAGCGCAGAATCGGAACCGCCCACGTGGCAAACAGAACGGGCTGGGCTGTTGGGGTGGGTTTCCGTTGAGCCATGTGTGCCACAGGCCTCGAACAATCGACTGGATTTCACCGAGTCTTGTCATTCGGAAATTTGAATCTTTTCATGTATTTAGCGAGTAGCTATTTATATATTTGTTTTTGCTACCAAGCTCTACTTCACATACGAAAACCGGGAGGGAATGTAATTCACAAAAACACATCACTACTAGGAAAAGGACGCTATTGTTGTCTATCATTATGTCTTCATTACTATTTACGTGTACCCACGCATATACCCATCATCAAAATCATCATGTATCCGCTCAACAAGGTCCAAGTTCATCATCAGGAGCCGCCGCCACCTAGGCGAAACCCCACCACGCCAGCTCAAACAGGTAGCCCGTGATCATCTTGGCGTGCTGGATCATGTGGTCGTACGAGATGTGCTCGACCGTGTCGTTGGGCGTGTGGATGTGGGGGTTGTGGTTCCCAAACACCGTCTCGAACACAAAGGCGGACGGGAAGTTGCTGCGGAAGGCCGAGCCGTGGTCCGAGCAGGCGTAGCCGCACAGGCCCTCCTCGTAGGGGATGTCGGTGTAGCCGCCGATGACCAGCTTGAGGAAGGCGACGAGGTCGGCGTCGACAAAGTCGGTGATGAGTCCGAAGCGCTCCCGGCCGTCGCGGCCCTTGTAGCCCGTCATGTCCTGCTGCAGCATGGCCACCACCTGCCGCCGGAACGTCGCGTACTCGGTGAAGATCTGCTGGCTGCCGAGCAGGCCGGCCTCCTCGGCCGCGTACCAGTGGAACTCGACCGTGTTGGTCAGCTCGCCGGCGCGGACCCGGGGGTCCTGCAGGAAGACGCGCATGCTCTCCAGGATCGTCATGCTGCCGGAGGCGTTGTCGTCTGAGGGGTGGATGGGGGCGGGTTAGCCTGGGTGGAAGCTTCAAAGCGCGAGAGAACAAGAGACAAGAAGAAGAAGAAGAAGAAGAAAAAAAGAAAAGAACGTACCAGCTCCAGGAGCCCTGCCGGTGCCGCGGTCGCCCGAGATGATGGAGTCCAGGTGGCCGCCGACCACCACTGTGCGCGCCGTCTGGCCGGGCAGGGTCACGATGATGCTCGGCTGGGCCCAGGCGTTGTGCCTCACGTAGCGGATGTTGGCCGACGGGTGGCCGTACTGGTCCAGGACGGCCTTGATCTGGCCGTGCAGCCACTCGGCGCTCTGGACGCCCCAGTTGCTCATGTAGTAGCGGTTGTGGAAGGCCGAGAAGCGCTCCACGTTGGCCTGCATGTTGTCCTTGCTGAGCTTGGCGGCCGCCTTGGTGGCGTTGCACCGGTGCGTCAGCGCGCTCGGGTAGGGGAGCGCCGCCCGCTTCTGGACGCCCTCGAGCATGGCGTTGGGCGCCTCGGGCCACTCGGTAATGTCGAAGAAGTGAACCCTCCGCTAACAAGGTGGGAAGCGAGTCTTTGTCAGAAGGGGGAAACTAGAGGCAAAACTCTCTATGCGCACTGCGCCAAGAGCCGAGAGATGGTGGATATCGCTAAAAAAAAAAAAAATACGTACGTCCATAAGCGCGAGCTTCTCCTCCTCAGTCACCTGGATGGTCTCGCCGGGGGCGGTCTCCAGCGTGTACACCTTGGCGCCCGAGCCCCTCGCGAAGATGGAGTTGACCGAACGCGGGAGGGAGACGGGGGCGACGCCGCAGGCGCTGACCGAGGTGGCGGCCAGGGCCATGAGCAGGGTGCTGGTGAGCTGCATTGTGGTGGTTTGCTCTCGCGCGCTGTCTCCTGCAAGAAGGTGTGTGTATTTGGGATCGAGAGACTAGCAGTGAAGCCGTGATCTCTATTCCTTGCTTGCCGGCGGAGCGCGGTCTGAATTCACGAGGCAGCTGATGAACCCGGGGAGGCACAAGGTTGGAGAAGGCTGGGGGCGGGGGGGACCGAAGAAGAGGTCGTCGGAATTCGGGGCGGAGCGGTACAGGTAGGCCCCTATTTAACGTCGAGAGCGGCCAAGGCTATCCCGCGGTTCCCAGCCCCGGACCCCTGGCGGCGTAATTTGCTCGCCGAGTCTGGCTTACTTCCCATGCCCAGAACCCCTCAACCACCACCTTGGTAAGGCCAGGATGCGGTCCTGCCATGGGCCGCCGTGATACGACCGTTGCGCCCGGGTGGGGGCCCCACCCTGGCCGTGATACCGACACGCTTATTGCTTACACTGCGACGCACGACAAACAGCCAGGTTTGTAGGGTACGTACATGTCATTGTTTGGGCTTGATGCCAAGGGCAAGCGGAGTGGTGTTTGTCTGCCCAGCCGCTGTCATCCGGGGAAGCTACACTGGAAACGGAAGCTCGCACCAGCTCTCACTGCGCCACCCAGGACGCTTGGCAGGTCGATACGGGGAGGAAATGCAAGTGTGTTTGGTTTTCGGCCCAGGCAAACGTCAGAGGAGCGGGCTGGGCAGTGCTTATCTGCAAGGGGGCGCCGAGGCAGGCACCAACAAACCTTCCGCACACACACACACACACAAGACCTTGGGGATTGGTGCCGCGGGTGGACGTGGCTCGGATTGCGATCGTCCTTGTGGTTCGTCTGTTCGCGCGCGTGCAAGGCCAACCGCAGTTGGCTGGAGCTCAGCCTCATATCGGGGCATCGCCGGGCGGCCGTAATTACTTCGAATGAGGAGGCCGAGGAAGCGGGCAGGCGTGACAGGATTGCCCACCTCGTGTTTTTCATCTGGCATCTGTCATGTCGAGGAAACGTCTAGGGAAGGAGGGTCAAGGCCTGGGCCGTCTTGCCTTTGAGCTTGGTGGGGCTGGAGCTGGAGCTGGCGCGTTCAAGAGGTGTCAACAATCTGTTTACGTTTTCTCACCCCGGATCCGGAAGGTGACCATCCGCCAAGCTGCCAAGAGAGTTAATACCCCATCAGCTTGCGTGCGGGAAATAAGGCCGCTTGGAGGCTGAAGGCCGGGAAGAACGGCAGCAACTCAACCCACCTGCTTGTCTGGGGAGGAGCTTCCGGCGAGAGAGGCCATATCGGTTGTAGGTGTGCAATCGCGGTATTGTCGACGAGGAAGGTCAAAAGAAGTCCCAATATTGAGGAAGTCAAGGTGTGGGTGGAGCACCCCTGCCTGCCTGCCTGCCGCCTTGTCTGGAAGTGGAACATCTTGGGACTTATGACCAAGTCACGAGATTCACACGTGACTGCAGACTGTGGTCTACATCTTCATTCCGTCTGGTGGCTTTCGTTTCTCGTCGGATGCATGTTCCTGAACGAGACATGGTTGAGACACGGCACCATTTACGACAAAGCCGCTGGCGGCGATTGACGGAGATGAGAATAAGACCATTGATGGTGACTTGCTTAGTTGCTCTCGGGGGAGGATCTCTCTGTTTTCCCCCTTCATTGTCCTGTCTCTCCTTCCTGCTTGCCACTCGTCTACCGTTCAAGGTAGGACAGCAGCCTATGTGTTAGTAGCACGTGCAAAAAGCTATCGTTGCCGTCACTCGGCTACATTATCTAGCTTTCCCGCCTTCTAGCCCCCCGCCAGCCGCTCCGGAAGGGTCATGGGGTCTCCGACGTTGCAATCCGTCTGGGGAATTTGAGATCCGAGGTGGGATGTGTCGGGGCGCGCTTTCTGCAGGCCAAGAACACGGCGCCACCGGATGCCGACGGCGCCGTCGAGAGGTCACAGCACCTACTATAGCGCATGATCTTGCTTTAGAGATCCGACCAAGCCTGCTAGGCTGTCACGGTGCCCGGAAAAAAAACCGGACTGCAAAATATATTCCCCACTACCACAAAAAAAGGAGCCCATTTAGTTTGCAGTCATTTTGCCCTCTGCATCTATGATTTAGCAAAGCAAACAACGTTATTGTGGCTATAAGTAGTGCTTTTTGCATCAAAATAATTACAAATCCCTTGAACGCGTATTCTTTTCGGTGTAAAAT